TGTTCCTTATTGTCGTCAATGTCGATTGCTGAAAAGCCAGAGCTGAGAACCAACTGATAGAGCTTGTATTCCATTGCAGGTCCGATCCGTCATTGTGAAAGGACAATTATGACATATACCGATCTGCCGATAGAACGAGCACACGTTTGCTAACAGTTTAACAAGCGTGAGCCCTATCGATTTCTCTCTTGGCGTGGCGTGATGTTAACACTTGTCACAAACATTTTATTTAGAATCGTGATAATGATCTTTCGTTGTAAATTAATACTCTGTATCCTGCTATCGGCGTCGTTGTTCTGGGCGATAGTTCGATCTCAAATGAATCTTCATGATACCGATCGAATTACTAACATCGATCGGTTACAGTTCGACTGTTTGCATTACTATATACGCGACGAAATAATGTATTCCGGTCTTGACTATATAAGTACAGGGATGATTGAGTATTGTCTTCGTCCACTCAATGAGAACATCTTCTCGACTCACGATTTTGACAACATGTTCGACGAATATTTCACGTTCGATGAGTTACATCGTCGGAATGTCAGCGCCGAACAATTAATTTCATGGTCAGCTTCGATCGATCTGGTTGAACAGTATCAACATTATGTTGATCAAACCGACATTTTTTCTCCATCAAATAAAGTCTTCTACAACTGTACAGAACCATGGTTCGGTTCTCGATGTCAATACACGTTTGGCTTCCGTGGAACCATTACATTGAACGATATTATCATAGCGACCTTTGAATCGAAATCTGATCACGCGGTTCCTCATACCGTAACCAATCTGACGTGTTACATTCATCTTCAATGTGATCGTGGTCCTCCGCCGATGTGTCTTGATTGGCGTGAAGTGTGCGATGGTCGAATCGATTGTCTGGACGGAGGTCAAGATGAGGCACAATGTTTCGATCTGGAAATTAACGAATGCGCTGAGGACGAGTATCGATGTCACAACGGATTGTGCATTCCACTAGAGATCTGGACGCGTGGATATTACAAAACAGACTGTCTCGATCGATCGGTATCCACCTTTGGCTACAATAAATATGATGAGTGCTTGATAAATCCGACATTCTTATGCGAAGAGCATTCGTGTTGACCAGGTCCTAAACAATTTACATGCGGAGATGGACAATGTGTG